TAGTTCATAAAAGTCACAGTAGTTCATCAGTAGTTCATAAAAGTCACAGTAAAGAAGAAAGCAAAATGTGTGTGGTTCTGTAATGTTCTTTTTTTTTTTGGCTTTTTGAGACAGGGTCTCACTAAGCTGTTCAGGCTGGTCTTGAATCACTTTGTAGCCCAAGCTAGCCTTGAACTCACAGCAATCCTCCTGCCTCAGCCTTCCAAGTGCTGGAATTACAGGTGTGCGCCACCACATCCAGCATCTATAATGTTCTTATATCCCACTTTCTGTCCAAAAAAAAGTATCTGCTTGCTAATTTGTGCTTTTATTAATTAGAAAATGGTGAAAGCCCACTTCTCAGTATCCCAGAAAAGAATTATTATTGCACATCAGCGCTACCATTCATGCAGGCAGGAAGAGTGGGAAAGGCTCTGCCCCGCCCCTCCCGTGGAAGGGTTAATAATTGGGATTGCGACCTTCATCACAGGTGAGTCTCATCTTCCCCTCTTCCAGGCAGGAGCAGCGACGGCAATGATCCAACTTCTGGAATAGAAAAGCTTCTGGAACTGAGTCGGTAAAATTTCATTATTGTTCAATATTAACTTAGCTAAAAATACTAAAAGGAATCTTATCAAAAACCTTTCGGCTAACTTCTTTCTCTTAGAGAAACATAAATGAATCTCTATTCTACTTCTAACTGAAGAAGAAACAATTAATTAGGGCTTGATAGAGAAGAGGTCGGCAGAGGCCTGATTAAGCGTGGCCTGGAAGCCAGTGGCACAGAGACGGGAATGTGATCTAAGGCAGCAGAAAGCCACCGGAACATCGTTTGGCTAACTTGGGTATTGAGAGGGTGGACATTTAAAGTATTATGGGCAGTAAGCTCTGTGTAGGGAGATTAGTGTGTGTGTGCCCCGCGCAGGGAAGGAACAGAGTCTTCTAAGTAGAGACTTGGAATAGGGGGTGGAATTCAATATGCCGGTTCTACAAGCGGGGCTGCTTATGGTCCGGACAGTGAGATGAGAAAAGGCTCTGGGAATGGGTTGGGTGGGGAGGAACAGCGCGGCCTGTTAAATCCTGATGAAACTGTGATGGGCTGTGGTCAGACGAGGAGCCTAAGGTGACGGGAGACGCTGGACACTTCACCTGCACTGTGTAGGTGAGCAGTTTCAGGAGCACTGATCTGACAGAAATGTGAAGGGAGGGCAATTAGAAGCAAGTATTTCAAAAACCCTGACTGCGAAGCTGGGAGTGGTGGCGCATACTTGTAATCCCAGCACTCGGGAGGCTGAGGCAGGAGGATCGTTTCGAGTTTGAGACCCGCCTGGGCTACAAAGTGAGCTCAAGGCTGGCCTGAACTGCATAGCGAGACCCTGTCTCAAAAAAGACAATAAATAAATAAATAAATAAATAAATCCTAACAGAGAAAATCTGGACAACGAAATATAGTCTGAAATGTTACACATTTCCTTTTCTAACATCCGCATAAAACAAAAAATCTCTGAAAAGGTTATATTTTTTTTCTTCAGCAGTAGACCAGGGAGAAACAGAGAACAAGGCTGGGTAAAGGCTTTGGCTGTTGGAGGGTCCTCGGGAGGGGGACGTGAGTCACAGTCACAGTGAGCACTGCGACTTGGGCCGAGCTCGAGAGCCTCGTCTGCGAGGTGCTGGTGTGGCAAGGCTGTGTGAGTGCTGACACGACAACTAGAGTGTTGTCAGAGTCAGAAAACGGTCCTGGGGAGCTGGGGTGAAGGGGAGAGGTGGGAAGCAGCATGGCAGGCCAGCTCAGTCACCAAAATCTGGGACGGACGTATGCGAGTAGTTAGGCTGCGTTTTGCTGTACTGGCTTCCAAGTAGTGTTTTACTAACTAGTTAGGGGGCACCTAACCAGGTTGCACTTGGCATCAGTGGTCTTGGGGCCTGGTTAGGCCCAGACCGCCTAACATAGGGAAGTCATATGTATGCCTCCAAGCCCAAGAACTGGCCTGCATCCTCAGCGCGTCCTGCACTTGCGAGGGGGTGACAAGTTACAACCACTGTGAGCCTCACTTGCTTTTAAAAATACACAGATAGTACTACATAGAGGCACAAGTACTATGAGAAATGTTTGTAAATGTGCTTCATGCAAAAAATGACTCAATAAAGGGCAGCTTTTAAAATTACTATGAATGAGATAGTTGGCAAAAATAATGTGAGGCCTGAATCTTCTGCCACCCTAGGGGACTATTTCACAACCTGAAACACTCAGCTCCCTTTTATTCATGAAGATGAAGGAGTCAGGAGGTTAGATAATGGCATGGTGGCTCTGCCGCCTGGGCCACAGGTGGGCACAGACATGGTAAATGTGAGGAGCACTAGCGTGTCCCTGGTCCTTGGGAAGTGTACTCTTTACTCGCTCTCTGGAATGCTGGAATCCTAGGGTACTTCAGCGAAGGCTGCTCAGAGTCCACTGTAAGAATTGGTCCAGGATAAAGACTTTGGAAGAACGGTAACCATCAGGCCACCAAGTAATTGGTACATTAACGACACGCACAAAGAAAAGACAAGTGTTCCCACTTTTTGAGTAGGATGAAAGTACAATTACACTAAAAAAAAAAGCTATTACAGAAAATAAATAGTGATGTTGACCAGCTATTGAAAGTGCCTAAAGAATAAAGCAGAATTATAGAGGGAATCTGAGCCTACAGGATGGAGAAAGATGTAAAGCAGTCTCTCTGGATGTCTATCTAGAACCCGTGCTTCCACCATGTGGCCCTGACTGAAATGCACTTGCCATTCTAGAACATAAATGACCACCCGTCTGTTTCTCTCACAGGATCACAGGCTCCAAAACAAGAAGTAGATTTAACTCATTTACAGTTTCACAGAGGCTTTGGCATATAGAGGTTGTTCAACTAATCTTTAATATTCAATCAATAATCATGCTAGTGTCATGGAAAATGTCATAGCCACCCATGTGGAAGAAAAGGTAAATACAAGTGTAAAGATTTTCACAGGGATCACTTAAAAAGGGGGGCAGTGCAGCAAACAGGCAATTATGTTTAAAAATGTGAAATGACTTTCTCTTTCTCATCCAGAAAAAGAGAGGATCTAAAAGAAAGACAAATTCTGCATTGTGAGTATATGTGAATCTTTATATTGTGGCCATGGAAGCCAAAATCAAACTCAAGTTGACATTTTATACAAGTTCATGATTAAAAAGGTAAATATCACTGGTTGTTTTAAAGATAGCATCCAGTCCTGGAAAGCAGGATAAGAAGTGGAGAAAGAGTTTTCCAGTATAAAATTTGAATATAATTAGAAATAGTTAAAAAAAAAAGTGTAGTTATTAATTCAGCACCAAGGAAGACAAGACTCCAGGTCCAAAAATCTCAGACTTTTAAAACTGTGTCCCAAGGAAGAAACCAGGCAACCAGGAAGTGTTGGAACTGGACACACACATCTATCGTTGTGCTACAGCTGGGTGACCAAAGAGAGCCCAAAGCTAAGGAGCATCACCAGGAACCAGAAGCCCCCTCAACGGCCTTGTACGGATGGTTAAAAACAGAATCTGAGTGCAAGAGCTTGCGCTTCACCGTGCAGCCTGAAACTACCCAGCGCATTCAAGCCCAGAGAAATGTGCAGCTCTAGCAAAAACTACCCTGGCCTTAGAACAAAATACTTATGTTCCCACTGATGTGCCCACTCTTCCAGCATTCTCCACTTCAGATGTTCCCAATAGAACTCCGACACTATATTAAGTCAGTCCCTCTTAAAAGGCCAGGGCTAGCATGCAACGTTTCTTCTGGAAAATTACACATGTCCAGACAAAACTGGGGCATTTGCCACAGTTATTTGGTATTAAGTGAAAACTTGTGCTTAACAAAACAAAGACGTTTGCCTGAAGAAAATGTGGAACTTCTTATCCAACTTAATGTGATATAGAAATTCAAAAAATGAGACAGGATAATATACTGTTGTTTTTATGCTGATATTTCGGCACCAAATGTAGCTCCTTTTGTTGTTTGTGTCCTTGTGTTGTCCCTGAGACAGTTTATCCCATAATAAGTTTAACTTTAAAGCAATAAACTTTTTGGAAGAGTAATAAAATTTAGCTTCAGGGAAAAACTGTCAGTTAAAGTTTGGGTAGACAGGGGTAATTGGCCAATCAGACACAGTATCTTTCTACAGAGACTGTGGTTATATTGCGGATAGTTCATATCCTTTCCTAATATGTAAATATTCTTATATAATAGCAGGAATAACTGCGGCTCTTACTAATTTTAGCCTGGTATCATAGATAGCTTTAACGTGAGCATCAGCACATTCAAGATGTTAGAAAGAGACAGTCTATGAACTGGCTCTTTAATACGCGCCTTGGTATGCCCTGGGTTGTACTTGCCAAAAGATGACCGCTAAAACCCTTAATCCAGTCTAGTCTGGATTTACTCAGTTTTTTACAAAACAAAAACACAAACTCAAATTAAAATCTCATAACGGCAAAGTCACATTTAATGACAGCAGATTAGAGCAGGAAGGCTCCAGAGCCGTGGGCATGTGCCCGCTAGCCTGCAGGAGAGCCAGGCGCGGCCGAGCGGGCGTCGGCGGGCGCCGGCCTGGTCCTCGGGTGGAGGCCGCC